ACAAAAGGGGGGAAATTCCCAAAACAACCCTGGCAGTCTTAAAGCGGGGCATGGACAAGCACCTAAGTCGGTTCCTGATCAGCCGGGCGTGGCTGTCTTTGGTTTTTGCGTGCAGCCAGCAGCAACAGCCTGGTTGATCAGGCTCTGATCCCCCAGGAGGCCTGGTCACAGCCCGGGCCCGCGGGGGGCGTTGTCCCGGAACCCCTTCCGGTAAACCCCGGGTAAACAGCTTATACAACACTGAGTCTTGTCTGAGAGCTTCACTCGTCAAACAGAATTTTCCCCCCAAAAATAAATTTTTTTTACAAGCTATTATATTACCACGACCCCTGGCTGTCTTCAAGGGGAAACTTGAAAGAGCAGTAAGTAGGTACCGGTGTTAGATGCTATTGTGGGTGCATCCTGGGGAAAAAGATTAACCAAAGTTGCCAAAAGGGTGCTCTTCACGACCAGGTTTTTTTTTTTTTTTCAGTGTGCTAATGATGTCATCTGGCTGTAAATGTTTATCTTGTACTTGCAGTAAAAAAGTTTAAAATTATCTTATTATAAAGGGGCCCTCGTGTCGTCGTTTGGGCTTTAAATCTCTTCCCCTTTAACTCTTTTCTTTTTAGTATTTGTGCCCTGCAACTGATTCAGTATAAAATAAAATATTATTATGGTAAGTCACTATGCATATGACAAGGCTGAAAATTCAACACAAGACACAGAAAATTCCCCTTGACATTACAAACCCACTAACGACACATTTAACAAGCACACTACTGACCACTATGAAGAAAAAAAAAACCAAATTTTACTTAATAAAAAGAAAAATATAAATACAATGAATTATATATGCCCACAGTGCATAGATACAGAAGATATTACACAAATCACAACCCGAAACGTTTAAAAAATGTTACACACAATTCCGACAGTTTTACAAAAAATTTGTTTGACATTTGCAATAGTTGAAAGTAAGAAGTTTTTAGGTTACACAAATAAGTTAATAGAAAATTATTATCATAGCAGATTGTGTGGAAAACCCTGGGAAAACCCCAAAAAAGTCAGACAGGTGACTTTTTTCCATTGGGTCTTTTACCTTATTATTATTTTAAAAAGGTTTAATATTTTCTTATTTTTTTACAAGAAGATAAATCTTATTATTACTAAAAAGACTATCTACTACACGGGGTCTTTAAGCTATCTACAATCGAGGGTCATTATGGGAAATAAGGTAAAATTTACCGTATTTAGAAAAAAAATGAAAATCTTCCCCTTTCCCTTTCTGTAGTCATTCATAAAACCCCTTTGGCACTTTCTTGAATGGTTTGCTATGATGGTTTTTGAAATGTGGGGGTAGTCTGTTCCATTTCTTTTTTGCTGTAAAATTTAAAAGGTGTTTGACGCCTGGCCAATGACTGTGGGTACTACAATTTTTGTGCTTTTACCCCTAGTACTATGTTGCTTGGTTTCCCCAAACCTTGAAAAAATTGACAGAAAGATATTTGGACATGTTTGTGAGCAATTTTAAAAACTGATTTAGTTCGTTGTTTTCTCTGTCTTCAACATTCAAACATATCCAACTGCTGTAATTTTCTGGCCTACATGTTCTCTTGGTCCCGCCAGGATGATTTACGATTTGTTCGGGTGTTTTGCAGTCTATTTTTCTTTTTTTTTTGTAAGGGATACTGAAGAGCAAGCGTAATCCTATGGCTTGTATAAGGGTAGAATGGGGTCCTGCGGCCTCGGGAGAACGGGTTTTTTGTTTTTACAGGAACTTCAGTTGGCATTCGTTTTCTTTATAACGTTCCCTTCAATTCTCCTGACTGCAGGGCAAGGGGATTCCCGATATTTTACTGAGAAACCAAAGTGATGGGCCCCCATTAACGAACTTTAAAATTATTTACCCTTCTCAGTTTAGTTTCCCCAAAAGAGATGGCTTCGTTTTCTCTAGGTGTGTGATTAGTTTGTTGTTTACTAACCATTTGCTGCGGATCCAGTTCCAGTATTTAAAAAATTAGCATATCTTTGGGTCTTTACCGTCCTAACAGGCACTGTCTTTGCATACGTGGTTTTTGCACTTGCACTGATGGGATATCTTTGACATAACATAAAAATAAAAAGGGTCCAAAATACTATTTGGGGAACTCCCATGTTATCGTCAGGGGTTTGTTTCCCTTTTTTGTTGATTTTGACTTTTTGTTCCTATTGCTAGGTGGACTTAAACCGTCTACAAAAACCTTTTCCCGAAGCTTGAAGTTTTTTTCAAATTATTGTGGTTGGGACAGTATCAAAGGCCCTTTTGAGGTCTAAGGTTCCATACCTATGGGTTCCCCTTTGACATTTCAGTTCTCAGGTAATCCATCAGATTAATAAGGGGGGTGGTGGTAGGATCTTCTAAAACCCGATTGTAGCTTGGAGAATGCTGTTGTCTTAAGGTACTTAATTTCTTTTAGAATCACCCCCCTTTCCCGATTTTAGATATTATAGGTATACTAACGGCCTTAGTTGCTTACATCAGACCCACTATTTTTCTTGAAAATGGAGTACTCTGGCCTATTGAACCCCCCCGGTAGGGATTAGTGGCGATTGTTTGATTTATTATGTGAGCAAAAAGGGATTGACAGTTCAGAAACACCTCTTTTTGGAACTTAGACGGGATGTTATCAGGGTTGTGCTCTTAGTTGGGTTTTAACCTGCTTAGTTCTTTTTTAATGAAGTCATGAGATACACTTATAGTTGAAACTGTTGGGGGTTCCCCCTTTTTGGTTTTGTATGTTTGAAACTTATCAGGTCGTGTTAAAGGTATTTGATGCAGCTGGAGTTTTTACTTGTGGATGCAACTTTTTGTGTATGAATTAAAGCAATTTGCCCCCTTAGATGTTTCGGGATACCCCATTATCGATGTGGTCTTGTTAGACTTCTATGGGTTAGGCGTACCCCCAAATGTTTTGTTGTTGCCAGAGCTTCCCGGGGTTATGTTATACTCTTCAATTTTTTTGGGAAAAATTTTGCTTTGCTCCCTTTTTTAAGTATCTGTATCTGTTCCTCACCCCTTTGGAATTCATTTAGTGTGCAATTCCGTCTGTTTGTTTAAAAATTTTTTTGCGTGGTCTCGAATTTATATTATCAAATCTCAGTATTATCCAGGGGGTTAGTCTTCGTTTAATCCTAACCCCTTTAATGGTTTCAATATTATCAAGGATGGTAGTGAAAATTGTTTTTAAACTTTCCCCGGATCATTTACGTCCGTTTCAAATTGTTTCTTGTCAGTCACAATTGTGTAGCCTATTTCCAGTGTTTCTTTATGTTTTTTTCTAGTTGACCTCTTTTTTTTTGTTGTGTGGCCCCATCCTATCCCCAGTGATTTTCCCCGGTGAGTAAATGATGAAATGATCACTAAAACCGTGGTAATGAGCCTGACTGACTAATGTTTCAGAGCGGTTACAAAGTATTGGTCAATTAGGGTGGTGAGAAATGTGTGATCGGGTTGGTGTATTAATTAGTGGTGTTGCTATTTAATCCTGAATTTGCTATACCTTTTGCATAGCCCCTTTTTTTTTGCTGTGAAAAAAAGATATTGAAGTTGCCCAGTATTATTGTCCGAATTTTTTCAATCCGGACAAGACTTGAAAGTCTTTAAGAAATGGTCCTGGGTAGGAGGGCGGTAAATAGTTCCTCTAAGAGGGGTTTTATCTTGGGAAGCGATTCAAAACCCTAAACTCGTTTTTGTTATTTAAATAGGGGTTTTGGGGTTTTAAACTAAGTATTTTCTAAAGTAGGCACTATCACCACCCTTTCTGTTCTATCTAAGCGTTTTTGTATGCAAGTACACAGCAAACACCACACAAGGGACAGAGACAACCACACAAGGTACAGACTAAACCCCCTAACAAGGGACTTTGGACATTAACACAAAAAACGTGAAAGCTACGTGTATGATGTGCGCTGACAGGTTACTTAATTATTTACTGATGCAATAAAACCCGACAGAAATTGAAAAACCAAAAAAACGTTGAGTATCTTTCAACAATGAAAATATCCAAGTGTTGCAGGTGTGTCTTAGGTGTGATGTTGATTAAGTTTAGATGACCAGGAAGATACGGGAGTTTCCTCGTCTCTCAGCTGAACGATGAACGGATGGGGACCTAACAGCGACCTTAGGTAAGTGAGCACATACACGTGTTTCAAGTCTTGCCCCCTTTACCACAGAAGAACAAATTTTTTATTAATTTATTTTATATATTTATATATATATATAAAATATACATTATATATATATTTTATTTTTCATATATTTAAAATATATTATAACTTTTATACATATATTTTTACATATATTTATATTATATATTAATTATATAATTATTATTTAATTTTTCATACATATTATTTTATATACATACTATATATATATAATTAAAACATACATATATATATATTTTTATATTATATATATATATTATTTATTTTTATATATAATTTATATATTATTAAAATTATATAATATATATATATGGGTTATGCAGTGTTTCAATTCAAGTACAGCCATCCGGTTCCAAAATTAAAACCACTTATAACTGTAACAAAAGAATTCTTGTTATACATTTAAAAGACTAATGAAATCGTACCATAGTCATAAAAATTTTTTCGACAAGTTTATTTGTTTCCATTAATACCAATCTGGCACTAAACTTTTGTTACATGCCTGATGCATGTTTTACATAGAGCTTTAAAGGAATCATTTAACAAAATATATCTTACTAATGTCAAGTATTATCATGATCCTCTCTGTTGCAGAGAGGTCACTGAACTAAATATCATCACTTAACTATGGTTATAATTGTAACCTTAATTTTTAAAGGAGTTGACTGGTAAGCCAGTGGAAGGCCTAGGTCAGAAGTCCAAAAGCTCCAGTGATGGGTCATCAGATGACTAAGATCCACTGCAGGAAACACTTGTCCTGTTGCCTGAAAAATCTTACCTAACATAACTAAACCGAAGTGAAGTTCACTTACATCCTCCTGGCCACCACTTGGTTGCTGTTATGGTGGGAGTGTGCAGTACAAACTCCTCAAACTGTTGGGTCATAAGTAGCCCTTGTCTCCAGCCCTCTCACAAACGTTCCGTGTCCCAACTCCGTCTGGAAATACAGATAATGTATGTAGCTGGGGCTTTATAACAGTGTTTTACAAAGGAATCCATGTTCGATTCCTCGGGAGAACTATGAATCGAACCCAGATTCACCTTGCAGTAAATTCAACGGCAAATAGGTACCGTACCTAGCAGTTATGTAAAATAATAGGCATTATGGACAAGAATGGATCAAAGACACTTGACGAGAGCAAATATTTATTAGAGGACTAAGCTTGCCCTCCGTAGAGCTCTACGTAAGTTATGAAGCTCTAAATAGTTAACAATGTTTTAGACCATCTTTCTACTGTACCTGTGAGTTAATCCACCGTCTGGGTGGCATCCATGGAAACAACCATTATGGAAATAAATCAAACAACTTAGACTTACTAGGTTATCTTACTTTAATAATCCTTCTGGATAATTACATTAAGAATATCTTATTCGACGTTTAGCTACACAATAAAATTATCAACTTTCTCAAATAACAGGTTCGCGACCCCCCAACAGGCTCCTTGATCATGGTAATCACTGAATGGCTAGTGTAGTAAAACTGAGAAATACTGCTCTATATGATACCTACACTCCTGCAAGATTGTGACTGCAATCAAAGTTCAAATCATCAATTAAAGTATCATTTACAAAGTTACCAAGAAATTACAGAGAGTGAGGACAAATTTAATTCATCTCAGCTTAAGAAAAACAAATCCATGAAAGAAGCCTCAGTAACGTAGAACTTGAAAACTTTTTCATTAATTACCTATAGTTTCTTTCCTATAAGAGATGGACGGAAGCAAATATAAAGAATACAGTTATGATTAACACCTGGCATAACAAAAGACCATAACTACAAACTAAGAAATGGGACTCTTAGATTCTGCTGCCGAAGCGGCTAGTTTATTATGATCCGCACATCCATCCTGTGGACGGTAGCGCAAGAGCATATGGATACACAAAAGGCCTAGGAACTAGGCCCCAAAAGGGTTAATAGGAGTACATCTGTATTCATATCTACAGTTGACTTATCTGTTACAAGTAAATTTACGAAATTTGCTTAATATGTTTGGTATCTTATTTTCACACAGGTTATACGGTCTATCTCTATATTCCTCCATAAGTGGACAATAAAACACAATGTTCAAGATAGTGACCATAGGGCTGACCTCACACTTTGCATTTGGTTTGATCATTTCTGCGTCTGCCAGACTGCCAGAAGTACATGTAACCAAGCCTTAGCCTGGCTACTACAACATCAGTCTGTTTTCATTGCAAGTTACTCCATAAACGTACTTATCTACGTTCATGTTATCATAGTGGATTATAGATCTACCCAGGCTTCTACCTTATTTACTTCTCTCTTAATATTATTCCAAATACTAGACACGGACACACCACCGTTTTATTTTACATTTCTCTTCAGGGTATTTTTGTGGGTTAACTTATCAACTTTATCACGAAGGAGTAATCCAATGTGTCATGAAATCCATAACAATTGTACAATAATTTTAGAAAGATTTGCTTTGCAAACATCAATGTAATGGAGTACAAGAAGAGGTAGTGCTACAGCCAATGAAAATCATGGAAGTATTACCAGAGTAAGTACTAACGACAGGACAACAAGAGCTTAGCTTAGAGCCTAACCTTACATAAGTAATAATACTGAAGACCTATAAACTATATTCCCATAAGATTTAATGTTTTACACAAAGAAATACAAATGGCTTAAAATACACACACGTAATATTAATATTTTAAAAAGTTTCGGGTGTTTTTAACCTATACCGTAAAATGGCCGATACTACCTTCGATACCAACACTTTGGCACATCCCTAAACAGAAGAATGGATGGAGACTCGAAAAGCATAAATTAATCAACGAATCTCAGCATGGTTTTACAAAGGGACGTTCCTGCCTTACGAATTTATTAACTTTTTTCACTAAGGTATTTGAGGAGGTAGATCATGGTAATGAATATGATATTGTGTATATGGACTTCAGTAAGGCTTTTGACAGGGTCCCACATCAGAGACTATTGAGGAAAATTAAAGCACATGGAATAGGAGGAGAAATTTTTTCCTGGATAGAGGCATGGTTGACAAATAGGCAGCAGAGAGTTTGCATAAATGGGGAGAAATCAGAGTGGGGAAGTGTCACGAGCGGTGTTCCACAGGGGTCAGTGTTGGGCCCCCTGCTGTTCACAATCTACATAAACGACATAGATGAGGGCATAAAGAGCGACATCGGCAAGTTTGCCGATGACACCAAAATAGGCCGTCGAATTCATTCTGACGAGGACATTCGAGCACTCCAGGAAGATTTGAATAGACTGATGCAGTGGTCGGAGAAGTGGCAGATGCAGTTTAATATAGACAAATGCAAAGTTCTAAATGTTGGACAGGACAATAACCATGCCACATATAAACTAAATAATGTAGATCTTAATATTACGGATTGCGAAAAAGATTTAGGAGTTCTGGTTAGCAGTAATCTGAAACCAAGACAACAGTGCATAAGTGTTCGCAATAAATCTAATAGAATCCTTGGCTTCATATCAAGAAGCATAAATAATAGGAGTCCTCAGGTTGTTCTTCAACTCTATACATCCTTGGTTAGGCCTCATTTAGATTATGCTGCACAGTTTTGGTCACCTTATTACAGAATGGATATAAATTCTCTGGAAAATGTACAAAGGAGGATGACAAAGTTGATCCCATGTATCAGAAACCTTCCCTATGAGGATAGACTAAGGGCCCTGAATCTGCACTCTCTAGAAAGACGTAGAATTAGGGGGGATATGATTGAGGTGTATAAATGGAAGACAGGAATAAATAAAGGGGATGTAAATAGTGTGCTGAAAATATCTAGCCTAGACAGGACTCGCAGCAATGGTTTTAAGTTGGAAAAATTCAGATTCAGGAAGGATATAGGAAAGTACTGGTTTGGTAATAGAGTTGTGGATGAGTGGAACAAACTCCCAAGTACCGTTATAGAGGCCAGAACGTTGTGTAGCTTTAAAAATAGGTTGGATAAATACATGAGTGGATGTGGGTGGGTGTGAGTTAGACCTGATAGCTTGTGCTACCAGGTCGGTTGCCGTGTTCCTCCCTTAAGTCAATGTGACCTGACCTGACTAGGTTGGGTGCATTGGCTTAAGCCGGTAGGAGACTTGGACCTGCCTCGCATGGGCCAGTAGGCCTTCTGCAGTGTTCCTTCGTTCTTATGTTCTTATGTTCTTAGTTGTTCTGAGAGGCAGCAGGTCCAGCGCTGAACCCCTGAGGGCTAAAATTACCTGAGCATAGGTGCCAATAATTTCATTCCGTAGAGAACGACCCAGCCATTTCTCTTGCTGTTCTGAGTTTGCCTGTCCAAGTATTGCTGGGATAAACATGGACAGGTGGACCATTAATGGATTCCCATCCTTCAAAATTCCTGTTAGAGCTCCTATATCCTGGTGTCTGAGAAATAAATTCGGTATAAATACTTATAAACAATATAAAAAGTGCAACTTAATCAAGCATACGATTTAATGCATAAATAATTTTCAATTTGATGTAAGGTATATTTTTATATTAATGTCATTAGATACATCTTAACACATGTAAAATCTTTACAAAATTATGTCTGCTATGTCCTCAACAATTTACCTTCTCAAAAATCCTCGTCTTTGGTTCATATGTATCCTCTAGTCTAATTTAAAATTAAACATTTGCCAACGAATGTTCTTTAAAAAATTTAAGAATTATGATGCCGTTGAACCTTTAAAATTGCCATAGCTGTTGAACTCACAGCGGAATACTTGACAATACCTGAAAAATTTTACCTGGCAAAATTTTACTTTGTTTTACTATTAATTTTGCTACTATTAACATAATATTGTTCATACTTACATGTCATGTCCTGATTCCTGGTCGGCAAGCTTCTGCATCAAGTGGGCCGACTTACGTAACTCATTGCTATAACGATCCTCGTGACTCATGTAGTCTTGAGGAATTTCATCTAAGAACTCTGGGTCATTTATCAATAGTCTCTCTGCGAGATGAAAAAATATACAAGGGTATTATAAATTGAAATAGTTATTATAAACAAAGAGTGCTACATTAATACCATAGTACATATACAAATATATTGGATATATATCATTTACAATGCTTGATAATTAGTTTATACGTTGCTTTGAACACCAATGACATAATCTGGATCTTCGTGTCCAACTTCCTTAAGATAAGATTTTTAAGCCTGGAGGGTTAGCCACCCAGGATAACCGATTGAATTCTCCTCATTAACTTGATATCGTCTGCAAACAGAGACACTTCTGAGTCTTATTCGTTCCGTCATTTCATTCACATATACCAGAAAAAAGACTGACCCTGTGGAACCCTGCTCGTCACAGGCGCCCACTCATGACACCTCGTCGCGTACCATGACTCGCTGCTGCCTTCCTGTCAGTCATTTTTTCATACATGGCAGTGCCTTCCCTGTTATACCTGCCTGGTCCTCCAGCTTTTGCAGTAATCTCTTGTGTGGAACTGTGTCAAAGCCTTCTTACAGTCCAAGAAAATGTTATCAACCCACCCCTCTCTCTCTCTTGTCTCACTGCTGTCACCCTGTCATAGAACTCCAGTAGGTTTGTGACACAGGATTTCCCGTCCCTGAATCCGTGCTGATTGTCGTTTATAAGTTCATTCCTTTGTAGGTGCACCGCCACACTTCTGATAATCTTCTCCACGACTTTGCATTCTATGCATGTCAGTGATACTGGTCTGTAGTTTAGTGCTGCGTGTCTATCTCCTTTCTTAAAAACTGGGACTAAATTTGCAGTCTTCCATACCTCCGGAAGCTCGTGTACTCGCCTAACTGTGGTTGCAGGGGTCGATACTCAGCTCCTGGCCCCGCCTCTTCACTGATCGCTACTAGGTCCTCTCTCTCTCTCTCTCTCCCTCTCTCTCTCTCTGCTTCCTGAGCTTTGTCATACCTCGTCTTAAAGCTATGTATGGTTCCTGCCTCCACTACGTCACTTGCTAAGCTATTCCAATTCCTGACGACTCTATGACTGAAGAAGTACTTCCTAACATCCCTTTGACTCGTCTGAGTCTTCACCTTCCAATTGTGACCCCTTGTTTCTGTGTCCCATCTCTGGAACATCCTGTGTCTGTCCACCTTGTCTATTTCACGCAGTATTTTGTATGTCGTTATCATGTCTTCCCTAACCCTGTGTGTGTGTGTGTGTGTGTGTGTGTGTGTGTGTGTGTGTGTGTGTGTGTGTGTGTGTGTGTGTGTGTGTGTGTGTGTGTGTGTGTGTGTGTGTGGGCGCGCGTGCGCGCGCAGTACTAACAATTCTTCACAGCATCAAATTTATATACGTAAATTATCCAAAACCCGGCTACCCTCCAATTAATTCAGCATTTTTTTTCCACATTTTCACACTTCTACCGATACAAACAACTTCGAAATGCCTAATGAATACAATATTTTATACACTACTGACTAATAAATACAGTACTGTAAGTACGCGCATTAAAATATACTCAGCTCATCTTATTTAACATCTTTCTCGTATATGTATGGTTTTAGTATTATTATTAATAAAACTAAGCCCTAAACCCATAAGGATCATACAGCTATGTATGGTGTATACAATACAGACAAGATAAAGACTTACGCACATGTCTAAATCTTCAACATGTTTCTCATCCTCTTTTGCTACATAAATCAAATCTCAGTACAATTTATAAAAGCGTATTCCACTACTTACGTATTTCCCGGCGTCTAGCTGTTCTTGCCTTCCCACCATCCACAATGTTTGTAAGTTCCTCTATGTTAAAATTACATTTCCTTCTCTCCCTTATCAAGTCTTCGTTGCATTCTCGCTCATTATTTTTGTCCATTATCTTCCTGCTTGGTTAATAATCCTGAACCTGAAAACAAATATATTTGAAAATACGAATGTTTAGACAAAACCATGAATGTGCTAGAAGTAGCATCAAATGCACATAGAAAAAACAAACGACTGAAAATAAGTAAAAGAAATTTCTTGAAGACAAAACTGCATGCATCATGCATCAGGATAGACACTGAAAAATTGGTGTCTCTCAGTAAATAAACAAAAATTATTTTAAATTCTCTCTTAATTAAGGGCTAGCGTAGAGGTGGGTAAGTTACCTATATTTAGGAGGAAACGTTTATCTTTAAGAATTTAGTGAACTCGTAAAAAGTTGGTGCCTGAGCCAACACACTGAACCGCCAGTGTCTTGTCTTCCATTAATTTCCACCAAGACTTTCGCTTATAACTTCAGAACGTCTTATCCAATCAGCGGTCATTTATTACTAGGGAAATAGTTGTAGCAGCAACTGACAAGTTCAAGTGCTCACTGCTCAATTATATATAACTTTTCCCGAAATTGGGTTCCATAAGATAACTTTAGAAAACCTCTTCTCATCGGCTTCAAAATTCCATCACTTGTATCTTACTTAAAAGAAGGCTTGCAATGTTAATGGAGTGTAGGTGCCATTGTGACCTAGTACTACGACGAAGAGCTTGCCAAAATGTGTTCAACATTGAACACATTTTGAAGCAATATTTATAAAAGCTTGAAGCAATATTTATAAAAGCTTGAAGCAATATTTATAAAAGCTTGAAGCAATATTTATAAAAGCAAAGGGTAGTCATATCTTTTATTAACTCAATTATATCGTAACACTGCCGTGTATTTTTCAAATAAACATTAATGTTCCAACTCAATGTCTTATTTCATCCATCTCAATTAATATGCACACTACTGTAATATTTTACATTACATAACTATATTAGGTTTCCTGAAAAGCAGAGAGGGGGGTTCCTTGATGCTGGTGAGGGAAGGGGGTCTTGATCTAAGGAACTCTGCTTATCTTTCGCTTGCATGGATCGAATCTCAATGCCTACTATACCACAGGCACTATATGAACCGTACTATTTTAGCGCTTTCCCTAACTAAAAATAAAACAATTGGAAACGGTATCAGTCTTTTAATGGCTGATGCGTCGTATGCCATGGATAAAACGTTTCTTGGGTATAAACTGTATGAGTAATTTTTTTACATAAGAACATAAGAACATAAGAAAGGAGGAACACTACAGGAGGCCTGCTGGCCCATACTAGGCAGGTCCTTTACAATTCATCCCACTAACAAAACATTTGCCCAACCCAATTTTCAATGCCACCCAAGAAATAAGCTCCGATGTGCAAGTCCCATTCAAATCCAACCCCTCCCACTCATGTACTTATCCAACCTAGATTTGAAACTACCCAAAGTCCTAGCCTCAATAACCCAACTAGGTAGACTGTTCCACTCATCCACTACCCTATTTCCAAACCAATACTTTCCTATGTCCTTTCTAAATCTAAACTTATCTAATTTAAATCCATTACTGCGGGTTCTCTCTTGGAGAGACATCCTCAAGACCTTATTAATATCCTCTTTATTAATACCTATCTTCCACTTATACACTCGATCAGGTCTCCCCTCATTCTTCGTCTAACAAGTGAATGCAACTTAAGAGTCTTCAATCTTTCTTCATAAGGAAGATTTCTAATGCTATGTATTAATTTAGTCATCCTACGCTGAATGTTTTCTAACGAATTTATGTCCATTTTGTAATACGGAGACCAGAACTGAGCTGCATAATCTAGGTGAGGCCTTACTAATGATGTATAAAGCTGCAGTATGACCTCTGGACTTCTGTTGCTTACACTTGATATAAATCCCAGTAATCTATTTGCCTTATTACGTACGCTTAGGCACTGCTGTCTTGGTTTAAGGTTGCTGCTTACCATAACCCCCAAGTCCTTTTCGCAATCTGTATGGCTAAGTTCTACATCATTTAACTTATAAGTACTAGGGTTACGGGCACTCCCAAGCTTCAGAACCTTGCATTTATCTACATTGAACTGCATCTGCCACTTTTCTGACCAAGAATACAGTTTGTTTAAATCCTCCTGAAGTTCCATAACATCTACGTTTGAATCAATTATCCTACCTATCTTTGTGTCATCGGCGAATTTGCTCATATCACTAGTAATTCCCTCATCAAGATCATTGATATATATTATAAATGCTGTACAATAACTGGGGAATACATCTTCCGGTCAGCTTTAAACTTTTAGTGTTGTGTTTTCCTCATAGGAAATTTCGCCTTGACTTTAGGTAGTGTAAATTTTAATAGGCCACTTTTATTTTAATCATATTAGTATGTGTATAATAACTGGATAATGTTTCTTCTGATCAGAAATAAGTCAGTATTTTGACTCATTGAGTTGCCTAAGTTAATTCTACGTAAAAAGTTTTTTTTTTTTTGGCAATAGGTGTCTCCCTCCTCAAAGCACTATAAAAAATTGTGTATCCAAACCTTATAAGTCGTTTACTTTGTTATTTTTTTATATATTTTATTTAAAACAATATAAATAAAAAGCTTTTATAAAGATAAGAAAGGAATACAACATTACACGGTTATGAAACAAAATTGTCTAAAAGTCATGTCGAGGTTGTTAGGTAAGACACATATGCAACAGTTAGACAACTTTATTCCGAAACGTTTCGCCTACACAGTAGGCTTCTTCAGTCGAATACAGAAAGTAGGCAGGAACAGTAGAGATGTGAAGACGATGTAATCAGTCCATCACCCTTAAAGTCGTAGAATTTGAGGTTGTCAGTCCCTCGGCCTGGAGAAGTTCAGTTCCATACTATGGAACTGAACTTCTCCAGGCCGAGGGACTGACAACCTCAAATTCTACGACTTTAAGGGTGATGGACTGATTACATCGTCTTCACATCTCTACTGTTCCTGCCTACTTTCTGTATTCGACTGAAGAAGCCTACTGTGTAGGCGAAACGTTTCGGAATAAAGTTGTCTAACTGTTGCATATGTGTCTTACCTAACAACCTGTCGGTATTGTATACCATTTTGATGTTCATCAGTCATGTCGAGGATTGTAAATTATAAAGTCTATATAATAAAAGACTGACACAAACTACACACATTTACATCACGTATTATACACCATGGTAATACATCTGGTCTATATACCATAAAATCACAAATAAAGGATCACAATAATACTCAAATATTAATTTAGGCAACTAAACGAGATCTTAGCAATGGCCTAAGAATAGGTATTTACTAAACAAAGGTGGAACAGGATAAACCTGTAAGTCACAATAAAAACTTCCAGAACGAAATAATAAAACCACAAAAAATGTGACATCTCAAAAAAAAAAAAAAAAAAAAAAAAAACCACATGCAAGCTGCTTCATGTAGAACGTATACACTTACAAGTGATAAAACATTCAATACTACTGCTACCACATATAGCTCAAGCTATATGTATAGACATTAAAATATATATAAATATATATATATATATAATTATATATATATATATATATAATATATATTTATAATATAAAAATTAATAACATGGAATTTTTTGAAACAAGGCTGCTTAACACAATCCTCCCTAATAGAGCTAAATGGTTCAGATATGTTGATGATATTTTTGTGTATTATGCCCCAAAAATTTAGATATACACCATTTCCTTGGCAAATTAAATAGCTTAGCCCATTCTATAAATTTTACTGTTGAATTTGAAGAAAATAACTCATTGCCTTTTCTAAATGTTTTAATTATTAAGGGTAATAATGAATTCAAATTTAAAATTTACAGAAAACCTACAAATAACTGTTCCTATGTCCACTATTATTCTTCCCATCAAGATAGAGTTAAACTGTCTGTTTTCTCATCAATGTTTTTGAGAGCTTTACGAATTTGTAGTCCAGAGTTCATAGATGAGGAAATACCCAAAATTTATGAAATAGGTAATGATTTGAAATACCCAAGAAATGTAATTGATAAATCTTTTAAAGTTGCTAGAAATACTTTTTACAATCCAAAAAGGGACAACCAGCCTTTTTCAACTAAAAATATGTTGGTTCTCCCTTACCATGAAAACTTGGTTGATATGCCTTCTCTTCTTAAGACTTTTAATATTAAAGTTGTATCCAAAAATCTTGATACAGTAAAAAAACTTTTGATAAAGAATTCCCCACAAAATGCTGATGGATGTGTCTATAAGATTCCTTGTAAAATTTACGATAAAGTTTATTACGGTCAAACTGGTAAAAAAACTCGAACTAAGATTAAAACAACATAAATATAGCATTAGAACTGGACAAGATTCCAATGCTCTATTTATTCATATAAGAGATTTTAACCATCCAATTGATTTTCAAAAGTTTGAGAAAGTAGTATCAAGCAAAGTCCATGGTCGACAGGAATATAATTGAATCTTGTTTCATAAAAAGCAGTTTTGACAATAATATGAATATTTCCTTTGGTTTATATAAATTAGATCCATTTATAATTAATAGAATTTGGGAAGAATTTAATAATACATTGGACAAATAATAATTTTTTAAATTTCTTATTTCTTGGGTAGAATAGTTTGTTGGTGGGTTGTATGAAGGACCTCTCTAGTTCGGCTGGTGGGCCTGCTGTCTCGCGTCAGGTGTTTCGTTGTTGTGGGATCTGATAGTGAGGTGTGGGCTACCCCTTTATATACCTTCCATTGATGCTTTACTTTCATTGTTCCTTAATAATGTGAGTAGTCACGAAAGCGCTTGGAACTTCTCTATTCTTTCACAGTGGTTGTTTTGCATATTCTGAAATCACCTGTTTACTGTAATCTTATTGCATATATATATATATATATATATATATATATTAATATATATATATATTATATATATATATATATATATATATATATGTCGTGCCGAATAGGCAGAACTTGCTATCTTGGCTTAAGTAGCAACGTTCATCTTGCCATATAGGACAAGTGAAAATTTGTGTATGCAATAATTTCGCCAAAATTATTCTGAACCA